AACAGGGGCCCCTAGGGGCCCCTGTTGGGTCCTGGGAGCCCCCGCGTACTGTTTTGGTGGGGGGGCCCCTGCTGCTTTTTTCTGCCATTTTAGGATCAATTTGATGAAATTAAATGTTTAAATTTATTTTAAATTAAACATAAGTATTTTTAAAAAGAAATTTTGATTTTAAATGCAGAAAAAGACAGAAAGTGAGATTTCAAACGGACCAGATAGCCACTGCAGACCACCCCCCTGTCTTGCCACTCCAGGGCCCAAGACATCAACTCAAACCCTAAACCCCAAACCCTAAACCCTAAACCTTAATATCCAGGTGGCCCTTTAGTTGGTGCGTAGAACCTTTTAAAGGGCAGCACGGGGGCCCCCGCTGCTGTTGCTGCTGCTGCTGCTGCTGCGCTGCAGCAAGACGGGGGCCCCCCAGACGCCATCAGTTGCAATTTGTTTGTCTGAGTTAATTTTGAACTAAATTTGAATTAAATTTAAATTAATTAGACTAATTTAATTAATTTCGAATTAATTGAATTTATTTTCGGAAAACAAAGCCAATAAAGGACCCCAGAGCCTCAGCTGCGAGCCGCCGCCACGCGGGGCCCCCCAATGGCCTAGCGGGGCCCCTGCTGCTGCTGTTGCTGCTGCTGCTGCAACACGGTGTACGCACATTGGCAGGTGCTTAAGAGTCAAATAAGCCGGCACCGGCAAGCGTGCTGCTGCTGAACGAATTGCTGCTGCTGCTGCAGCAGAAGCTGCTGCAGCAAGAGCTGCTGCAGCAGATCTAGCAGCACCTGCGTCAATACCGACCATGTGCAGGCCAAAGAGGAAGTCCTGGCAGCAGCCGCTGCTGCTGCTGCTGTTGCTGCTGCTGCTGCTCCCTGCAGCAAACAGCCACACTATGATCCTTTCCACGAGGGCCCCCCAGACCTCTGCCCAAGCAGCAGCAACAGCAGCAGCAGCAGCAGCAAGACCTTGGAATCAACAAGGGGGGCCCCCCTGTGGGTTTCGAATGGCGTTTGTGGCTCCCCGGGGCCCCAAGGAATCAAAAGACAGGGGCCCTGCAGACCCGCAGCAGCAGCAGCAGCAGCAGCAGCAGCAGAGTGGCATGACCAAGGGTGTATGTACTGGCTCCAGCCCTTCTGAAGCATTGACAGCAGCTGCGGCGGCCCCCGCAGCAGCAACTGCAGCAGGAGAAGCAGCAGCAGCAGAAGCAGCAGCAGCAGAAGCAGCAGGAGAGTCAGCAGCAGCAGCAGCAGGGCCTCCAGTGCTTGTGGAATGCTTCTATGTCTCCGGCAGCAAACTGCTGGCAGCAAAAGAAGTCGAAATAATTTCTAAAAGGGTACTGGAGGCCCAGGGGGCCCCCCTTGGTGCTGCCTTTATTTTATCTGCTGCAGCTTTTGCTGCTGCATGCAAACAGTTTGCTGCTGAGGTGCAGCAGCTCTATGTCCAAGGCGGCTGGCTGCTGGCCACAGTCGAGCGAGTGCCCTCCCCAGCGCAGCAGCAGCAGCAGCAAGAGCAGCAGCACCAGCAGCAAGAGCAGCAGCAGCAGCAAGAGCAACAGCAGCAGCAGCAGCAAGAGCAGCAGCAGCAGCTGCTGCTGCGGGTGGAGTTCAGGGCTAAAGAGCCGCTGCTGGACTCTCCGCCGCTTGCTGTGGAGTTCGCATCGGCTGGGGCGGAGGAGCAGCAGCAGAAAGCAGCAGCAGCAGCAACAGCAGCAGCAGCAGCACCAGCAGCAGCGGCAGCAGCAGCAGGCAGGACTAGAAGCAAAACCCTTGAGTGGTTTCTGGGGCTCCAGGGAGGGGCCCCTTTTAGGTGGAATGCCCAGAGGTGGGAGGCCCTCCTCAGAAGTGGTAAACCTGCTGCTGCTGCTGCTGCTGCTGCTGTTGCTGCTGCTGCTGTTGCTGCTGCTGCTGTTGCTATTGTTGCAGCTGTCAGTGCTGCTGCTTTTGCTCCTTCTGCTGCTTCTGCTGCTCCTCCTCCTGTCGCGAGTGCTGCTTCTGCTGCTGCTGCTACTGCCCTCTCTATTTCTGCTGCTGCTGCTACTGCCGCTTTTGCTGCTGCTTCTGCTGCTGCTGCTGCTGCCCTTGCCACTTTTGCTGCTCTTTCTCCTTTTTTTGCTGCCACAACAACAACGGCAACAACAACAACTGCTGCTGCTGCTGCTGCTGCTGCAGGGCTGTTTGAGAGCGCGTCTGCTGCTGCAGCACTGCAGCAAAACGGCAGCGTGAAGCTGCTGCTGCAGCTAAAGGAAAGCCAGCGGCGCCGATTGTCTCCAGGTAAACTTTTATTTTTTTTAACTTTTATTTATTTTTTATTTCTTTTCTATTTCTTTTTTATTTCTTTTTCATTTCTCTTTTTATTCTTTTTATTTCTTTTTTAGTTCTTTTTTATTTACTTTTTAATTCTTTTATTAACTCTTTTTTATTTATTTTTTAATTGCTGTTTAATTCTTTAAGATTTAAAAATTCTTTTTTTCCTTCTTTAATGCTTTTTATTTTCTTTATTTGTCTCATTTTTGTCTTTCTATTTCTTTTTATTTATCAACAGCAGCAGCAGCAGCAGCAGCAGTTGTTGTTGATGTTGCTACTGCAGCTGCTGCTCTTGTCTTTTTACTTCCTTTTTATTTGTCTCTTTGTTTGTCTTCTATTTTTCTATTTTTATATTTTTGCCTTTTTCTGATTGGGGTTTTCTTGTTATGTCTCTCCTTAAGTTAATCCCCTACGCACAAACCCTAAACCCTATTTTGTGGTTTAGTAGTAAACTGCCGAGGGTTTATTTAGGGTTTAGAATTCAGGCTTTAGGGCTTAGGGTTTAGGGTTTAGGATTCACGGTTCACAGTTCACGGTTCAGGGTTTAGGGTTTAGGGTTTAGGGTTTAGGGTTTAGGGTTTAGGGTTTGCGGTGCCTGCTGCTCAGGCTTATCATTCGACGGTTCCCTCAAAAGTTGTTTAGCAGAAATAAAATACTTCGACAAAAATCTTGGGGGTTTAGCATGGGCCCTAAAGGGGGCCCTAAGGCGTACCCTGGGGGCCCCCCT